AATTGTCAATTTTGACCACGTTATCATCAATTTCGTTGTGGAGCCAGGTTTCCTGAAGCACTACGACTCCACCCTTCGAATATTCACCTCTCCTTGTCAGATCTATTACTTCTGCGATGTTGCCAAGCAGGGAGCGCAAATTTCCACTGATGACTGCTGGAATGCAGATGTCTGAAACTGATCGTTTGCGTAGTGCGACCTGCCATCCAGTCTGTGAAACTGATTTTGCGTAGTGCGACCTGCCATCCAGCTCTGTGTTTTCTGGGAAATGTTTTGAGATTTCCGTAAATTCTTCTCTCCCTGTTACGAACCGATTTGCCAAAAGAAGGTAAAATCTGGTGGCCAGGAGTTCGAAGTTGCTTCATGAAAACGGCAGAGTATTTCACAGAATTTAAGATGACCATAGTCACACAACGTTTCTATGGCAACGAAGGACATGTATCCCAGATAAATCCAGTAAAGAGTGATTGTATAGTTCCGAGTCCGACGATGTAACGGACCGCGGGGCCAATTTCGAAGGCCCCGCTCACATCCGAAGTAGAAATTATAAGTACAGCGGATATTGATTACCGATACGACCAATGGGAACCATAGATTATCTATTTTTAGGCTGTCTTAATCCACCCCGGGTTTAAGATCCAGATCAAGTTGGAGGCGACGGTTAATTAGTCGTCAATACATACTCTCACACTATGGATCCTGATAATAAGCCGACCAAGAAGGGGCCTACAAACCAAGCCAAGTAATTCCTGGCTATGATAGTGGTCAGCGTTTTTTTTTGGGAATCGAGATATATGGGTCATATTGGAAGTTTGAAGTAGTCCAAAGGACGTATGATCCGATGAATTGGACACCAATGCCAAATGGATTGCGGCTTTCAAACCGGCTTTTGAGTCAGACCCTGGTTGGTCGTAAGCACCGACTGTGGATCTCCGAAGAAAATTCACCTGCTTTGGCATGGGCAACCTGACAAGATGGTGCCCACATGGAAATCATGAACTACTTACTCTCCCTGCTTTAAAAATTGCTCTACCGTGAGTTGTTTGACTAGCAGTATGGACTAAGACAAGTGTGCTAAGTAGTAATACTGTGCAGAAGATTTCATTGGGTTGTGAATTTTTTCCTGAATGATGAATGCACACTTATTTTCTGAAGAATAATAGAAATAAAGGGTTCCTTATGATGGTGATACGCGTACCAAGCTATAATGGGAAAACATCTCTACTAATTACAAACCTCTTCATCCCGTGATGAATGAGAACATGCGGGCCAGAAGAAAAACAATGCATGAGGAAGTCATTTTGTGTCTTCTTATCGGTTGAGTACGTACAACATTAAACGAAATTCAGAAAAACTAAAGTTTTTCGGGTGTGAGGTTCTGTGGCTGGTGTGTGTGTGTGTGCGTGCGTGCTCCCAGGGGAGTGCAAGAAAGGAGTTCCTCTCGTAGTGCTTTATCTACCTGTTCCAAATCCCTAACTTTTGTGTCACTCTCGACCCTAGTGTTTCTTGTTCGAAACTGATATGCACGATTTCGCTTGATTACTCACCGCCAAATTTTGGCGATACATGAATTTCTGAATTCCTGAATACGACTAAAGCTTGCACCAATTTTACTAAAAGAAGATTTTGATAGTCTTCACCGAAAAACAATTATGCTATTATATAGACGTATCAATAGTGAGATCTGGTTACTTTATTATACCTGAAGTTGAACTACCAACACCACTGTTAGGATGGAATGCTTGAACGATAACTTATTTGAAAGCGCACTAAAGCACTTCAAATCCGAATTACAAATGAACAGTTCCAGTTATTTGAATCAGACTACTGCCCTGTCATCCGGCCTAAAGCCACATCTAAGCTGTCGGGGTCTGCAATGATTTGAGCGCAGGGTAAGAAAACACTCATCTGTTTCAACTGCCGAGCTAAACTCAGGCCCATATAGCTGGAGGTTGAGCGGTAAAGGGGAAAGGCAGAGGCTGATACTGGATTTGCAATAAGCTGATCGGAAGACAGACTTGCACGCGCACAGTTGCGGACGCCACGCTGAATGACTGAGGAATTTCTCCCAATATTTTTCTCGTTGAAGGTAATTGGTCCAATTCATTCCAGTTGTTTGAGTCATACTTGAATTCACCAACGCAACCTGTTTCGTGATGACTCAGAAACTTTTGTTACGTTCAACTTTCATGTCTTTCTCCTACTGTACATCCAATGGGGCAGCTAAAACTCAATAACCAAAACCGACCCGTGTACCGAAAGTGGTTAATGGTTGTACAAACTGAAGCTGAGACTTTTTCATCTGATTTATGTTTCAATAAAATCAGGCGAGGTGAGCATCTACAAAACCGGGATTGATTTATCCCATTACCACGTCAGTCTATTCAAACTTTTCATAAGCACCGATCACTTCAACACGACCGGTATCTTTCTAATGGGAACTACTATACATTGTTCATGTTAGTTACTTTTTCTTTGTATGCCATTCGTATTGAATCAATTTGTCTGTTGCTCCGCCTCAACTTGAACTAGCCGATTGGATCAGATGGCCGCAAAACACACAGAACAACTACGTCGACTGACCAAAGCTGTTCAAGAGGCCAGACAAGCACAAGATGACGAAGCCGTCAAACGAGCAGTTTGCGAATACGATGCCGCTCTGGAACGATACATTCCAGTGCTGATGCAGCAAGCAAAAATTTATTGGGATATGGAAAACTATCAGCAGGTACGGAGTGTATGTAAGGAAAGTTGCTCCCGCATTATAAATTATTGGATACTCAGTGATTGTATTAATTTAGACAAAAATTTTGGGGTTTGCAGTAACAAATAGAATATCTAGAAAAACAATTAAAAGTATCCACTAACAATGTGTACTTTATCTTGCATTGCTGCGTTTTGCAACAGATGTCAGAGTTAAACAAAACACGACCCCGAGTGATTACTGCCCTTAATTGGCGGAGAATACCTGGGTACAGTGAGGTTAGCTAACAGCAGACTATACGTATTGTGCAATGAGTCACCAGATCAATGGTTACTCTCACTGAAGCTTATTTGTTCCAAGACAGTTGTTTCAGCTTACGCCTGAATTTCTCAAGGTAAATGGTCCAGTTCTTGTTATCCTCATGTGTAACACTCGTGTACTTCATGGCGCTTGGATCTAACCAGTTTTCAATGAAGCAGGGATCAAAACAGGTCAAAATTGTGCACAATAAACAGGGTGCCGCTTGAAACGGACGCCCTGTCAGACAGCTCATGTAGGGAGCCCAATCAGACCGATTGAGAACCGTGAATAGTGATTAAATCAGTCAAGTACTGGATACATGGTCGAATGATAAAAAGCACGGTTCAGTGTGTGGTAATACAAGTGAATCGTACCTCTGTGCATACCAGATGCACTACCAAAGATTTGAAGCGCTTCTATTCATCTCGATTTACTCTTGCCGTTGATATATGTTATGTTCGTATCATTCTATGAGGCTGGAAGTACAGTCTTAACGTGACCGTCTGTCTAGCAGTAGAAAATGAAGAGCTCAGTGTAATACAAACGGAATACCGAGTAAACTTCACTCAGCAGATTTCCTTCGATTGTTTGTTGACTTAAACAAACAAAAGCACCAATGAGTAATCAACAGCGCCAGACTACTGTTGTTTCCATTTTCATTGGTTTGGGGCCTCGTAAGGAAGTTAGCATAAAATGGATAAGTTTGGTTATCACTTGGTTGAGAGCATTTGTGAAATGTACTTCATTTGCGAAAGTCGTTTTATAACCTCTCGCATAGAATTTCTACACTGAAAAACTGAGTCTGTCCTTGGGGTAACCAATGCTAAATGTTTTGTGGAACAGGTTAGACGAGATTTTTGGTATCTTATAATTAGTTTTCTGAAAGATTTTGGTTTTTCGGTTATGGGATTAAAACACTGAAAACTAAAATGTTTTCTTTTCCTGGCGTGATAGCTGAGTGTCCTGCTATATCGTTTTAGAGTTATTTGTTCTATTAACTGGTAAGCATAAATATAAACTACACGCTTTATTTTCTTAAAAAGTAACAAAGAGTGAATGAGGAACTAATGAATGAATGAATAAGGAACTAATGAATGAGGAACTAATGCGACACAACCAATATTGTGCATACGTGGCACCTTGGTGAGTTGTAGAGGAACTGAGAAGGCGGAACGTCGGGATAAAACAACGAATTTAGCAGGGCACAACGGAATTCGTTGAATAATCATTTAGAGTAGGGCGAAAACTAAACCATGTCAGAGGTGAGTGTACAATCTGTGCCTACTGTTGATCAAATGTTTAGAATGGAATGTGTGTGGTGTTTATCACAGCTATATATGGTTAACCTTGATGAAGAATTATTCTTTGTACTGCGTTCTTCGTTCTTTATGAAGCCAAGGAAGTTTCTCTAATACGTAGCCACTTCTCTATCAACTCCATCAATGAAGCCATGATTCTTAAAAACAAAAGTTTCTCAGGGTACACGATATTTTACTCTGAAATCGATTCACTTACTGATACAGTTTGAGACTATGCTTACAGCAGTTCTCGTTAAACACTTGTCAAATAACACTGGCGTGTGTTTTTGATTGTTTTATCTGATTCTCATCTAACTCTTTGTATCCCAAACCCTGCTTTCGTTGTTATTCTTGGTGTTGGGTTGACACAACGATTGTTCACAATTGGGTGACATATATACATATAATAACCTAATAATAACATTAATATATCTAAGACTTCCTATGGCTCATTTATTCCTTATTGTTGGTTTGGATTGAGGTAAGTGTTACTATGTTTTATCGTACTATATTAACTGCATGTGCAGTATAGTATTCTGTGACTAAATACCCGTTATGGATTCCCTCAAGATAAATTCCATTCTGTGCATGAGAATTTTTCACCCGCACAGACTGAAACCATACATTGTGTGATTTGATTTCTTCAGGTAGAAAAAATATTTCGGAAATCCGTGGAGTTCTGTAATGACCATAGAATCTGGAAGCTAAATGTGGCACACGTCCTGTTCATGCAAGAAAACAAGTACAAAGAAGCCAGTGGATTCTACGAACCAATTGTTAAGAAACATTTCGATAATATTTTGAACGTTAGCGCGGTGATATTGGCCAACCTGTGTGTGACCTATATTATGACTAGCCAAAATGAGGATGCTGAAGAGCTGATGCGTAAAATCGAGAAAGAGGAGGAGGCCATCACCTACGACGACCCGGATAGGAAAGTGTTTCATCTTTGTATTGTGAACTTGGTCATTGGAACGTTGTACTGTGCCAAAGGTAATTACGATTTCGGGATCAGTCGTGTGATCAAAAGCCTGGAACCATACCAGAAGAAATTGGGTCCGGATACGTGGTAAGCTAATCTTTTTGATTTGAGAAAAACTATTATTCCAATTAATTTAATTTGAACGATATTTAGATGTAGAATACCGTGTTTATTTATACGCTGACATTTATCTTTTAAAGATTATATAATAATATAACATAAAGTATAATATATTGGTTATAATAACGCAGAGGATCGTTTTTCCGTCATTGGAGTGTACCGAGTATATGAAAGACAAATTTCAAGCAATGAATATAATGACGTTATCAGACGCCATATACCTTATCTGCTTCCTCCTTTGATTTAAATTGTTTCCCAAGAATAATTGATGGTAACTGACTTTGGGTGTGATGACTATTGTGATAACTATTCTGTTCAATGGAGCAGTTAGGGATCTCGATCAAATAAAGGATGAATTCTCGAATAAGGAGAAAGGTATACGTGAACTGGTGCTTGTGTAGGCCTGTACTATTGTTCCGTTTCATCGGTAGTGTAAGAACTTGCAGGTAGAGTATGATCAGACTTCTAACCTGGTCGCCGGACAGCTGATCAGACGTTCATTGGGTTCGTACCCGATCAAACTCAAGTAATGTCTCGCTCATTCTAGAATCAGCAGATTGATTGGTCAAAAAATATTTTAGTATGTGGAAATAGTTAACCGATCAGTGCCATAAATGCGTTAGGCCTTGGGGATTCTTGATCATTTCAAATCAACTACTTAAACGTAATATCAATAGTACGAATTAGTATGCATCAAAAAGTGCGTTCTGAAATAAACTTGGTCACCAGGACCACCAGTGCCCAACANTGCCCAACATGAGTCGTTCAACACGCATCCCTCGACAGCAGCTTGCACCCCACTCTCCGACTCCTAGATTTTTGGATTATCACCCCTCCCATATGCAAGATCACCACCATAACATAAACAGAAATCGAATGAAAAACCGGAATACGAGATTTTATCAAATTATCTTTCATTTTGACAATGTTACAGTCAATATCCTGGTATGTTTCACCCTTGAGAAGTCGCATTTTCCAGTATCTTCCCACTTTTTCGAAGACCCAAAACAACCGTTTACTTACTAACGTAGTTTTTGACTATATTTCGCAGTTCCTGATACGTACTCACTTGGTCGTTAACCGATGTTCGGGACGACCGTTGATCATCCACCCTGAAATGTCACACTCAACCAATGGCATTTTACCTAATGTGACGCGTTTATTGTACTGCTCACTGATCGGATAATCCTAGCTAGGAAGTCACACCGATGCAAGTGATCAGATACAGTACCATTTGACGTCAAAATATTCAAGCGCCTATCGATCAGAGAGAATCAGCCAGGTGCAACTCAGAGCTCCGTAGCTAATCACTTGAAATTTCATGAAAATCTGTCTACAATGTTGTATCCCATCGAACGACTATGGGAGAATGTTTGAACGCTGGAGCATCTGAGGAAAGATGCCACCTGAATGAGGCAACTTTGGCTTAGTTTACTGCTACGAGGGAAAAGCACAGAGAGTTCCCGATGTTGAAGAGCATCGTACGTAAGAAGGCAATCCAGTTAGCCCAAAGAATGCATCTTCGTGACTTCAAGGCTTCCAAAAGATGATTTCGTTCTTGGTCAAACAGATATGGTATTCAATCGTGCAAAGTAGGAAACAAGCAACTCGTGAGCATTACTTAATAGGTCTAATAATAATAATAGGTCTGTGTGGAAGGTTTAGCGGTACCACGTGGTGCAGAGTTTCCATCGGGGTTACTGCAGTTGATACATGGATATGCTGACTGATATTTTCAATGTAGATGAAACTGCTTTGTATTACAGGCAGCTCCCAGAAAGAACATTAAGTCTGAAAGGGAAGACAGTTTCTGAGTCCAAGAAATCCAAAGAGAGGGTCACATTATTGCTTTGTGGGAGCATGACTGGAGAAAAGTTATCACCGTTGGTGATTGAAAGTTTCAAACTCCAGTAGACCTCCGAGGTATCGGTAGAAAGAGCCTTCCATGGAATTAAAATTCTTCAAAGAACGCATGGATGACTTCTACGTTATTTCACAGTTGGCTGTCCGACGTCAACCGCAAAGGTGCTCTATTTTACTATTTATGGAAAACGCCTCTAGTCCTAACCAAGCCGCAGTATTCTCCAACGGAAAATTGGTACCCCTGCCTCCGAACTGTTCTTTAATGTTACGACCAATGGACCAGAACGTGGTTTGGTCTTTCAACTGTTTGTTTCGGAAACATTTACTGGAATATGTTTTGTCTTTGATCGGAGATGAGTAACTTATTATGAAAGCCGAGGTGGATATTCTCATGGTCATGCATCTGGTGAAGAAAGCTTGGGTTTCCGTTCACCCGAACGTACTGATCAACTCTATCATGAAAGCTGGGTTCAAATCCATATTGATTCAGTCGGTAATGCAGCATTCAGAGGATACATGCGATTTGATCGAGGACTTTACTCATTATGTGTCTAATGAAGAAGAAATCGTGTGTTTGGAATTTGATGATGAAGAAATGGGTTATTTAAAATTTTGTATCAAGTTTCTTTTTAGTTATTAGATAAATTCATTTCGAATCAAGCTAAGCATCGCAAAGAAGAAGATAAATGTTAGGCAGTGAATGAGCCGGAATTTATCTCAATCAGAGAGGCGCAGAAGTTATTGGATCAATTGAAGTTGTTTGCCGCCCCTGCGTGAATGAATGAACGATACTCTCACTTGTCCTAGAGCACCGATGAAATTAGACGGGTCACTTTCCAAAGGTCACCGTAACCCGGATCTAAGGGCAGTTGTGAGATGCACTTTTACTTTATGAATCGTTAATGGCTTGAGAGTTGCCGTTATTCCTTTAGGCTGGCGTCTATGGCCTTCAGTTGGTTGAACAGGCGTAAGCTCACGCCTCACGCCTGCCGGAAAATTGGCGAGAGAATCGGCTTAGAAACAGTGCGTGTATCTTAGACGAGTCAAACTTTGGCGCAGTGTCATCATCGGTTGAACGTTTTCATTCCTCCTATGCCGGCCCGACAATCACACGACCGATCGGGTTCATTTATCGATCGGTCGGATAGGTCACCGCAACAAGAGACCTGGGGCTTGCCCACCGAACCCGAGCGAGAAACCACATCTTGTCTACAACCGCTAGCCTTTAGCAGACCCAGTGAACTTCGGCTGTACAGCAGGCGTGCCTTCACCACACGGATGGACTGCACATGACAACAAGATCATCACAAAAGGTACAAGAAAATGTGAAACAATGGCGTAATCGGACTATCGTACTACCGACAAAGCACATGACATCTTAAATTGATAATAGGACATCTTAAATTGAAAAATGTATGGCTTATGAGACCCGTTATGGTATCACGTGTTAAACTTAGTCCTACCAACAAATATTTCACTCATTTTAGATGTTACTTCCCTTTCACTGTATTCCAACTGCTTCACCTCTGTTTTCCTTGAATGGGTGATGTGGAGGGTGAATGTGATTATTATAGCTAAAACAGCTGTACAGGGTGACTGCTTCATCGTAGTCGAGCGTCTCGTCCCTCTCATCCGTGACCTTAAGCAAGTAAATTCCCTCTGACCCCTAATGCGATCTGATTGGATCATATTCCGCGAGCTGCGACGCCTAAAATCTCTCACCCTA